AGAAAAGCTTTCATGCCCCACAGCTGGGAGCTCACCCACAGACCTTCTTCTCTACATACAGCAGCAATGGGCCAGGCAACTTCAGTGGGCTTATATGTATGCACATACTTACCTTCCTGTAATACCCAAACATTAAGAAGACAGATCTACAGCTGATCCATTTGAGGCATGCATGTATTGGTTTGTATTGCAACTTACTGAGTGAACTTGAAATGCAGAGGAGCCCAAATCTCTATTCTGGACAGTTTGAGGTTGTTTGGATCTGACATTTCTGTGTGTTCACTGACAGAAATAAGCTCATTATGAAGTTGTGTTGGAAGATGGATGCCCTTTTTCCAAGTTTTGAGAAGTGTCTAGGCAGAGTAATTGGACTGCATTAGATAAATCGAGTGAATGTGAAAAATCTTCATTAGAAGGGAAGAAATATGTGGTTTTAAGTGCTAAGACACTTCCACATAACATTACGGTTTGCATCTACACTCACAGTACGCAGAGAGATTCATGCAGATGTCCAAAAATTGAAAAGGCTTTAAATGTATTTTATCCAATTGTTTGTTGAACAGTATTTACCTTTTGCATTCCACAGGTTGTTTTGAAATCTGAATGTGTAATAACATCTCTGAATGTTTTAATTTAAGCTAATGTGCTATTCCTTTATGTAAAAAGTAAAGGTATTTTGAAACTCTTTGCTGAATACTCTGAGATTGTCCATCCTCTGTGTGCTAGCACTGAGCTGAATGCCTAGCATCCGTGCATAGAAGAGGGAACAACTGCTGCCCCTCCGATCCAGCTATTCTTGTATCTGGAAACATTGTCAGGTGCTACAAGCATCACGCCATCTGAAAGGCCAAAGTTGAGTACTACGTTATTGGAGTAGATGACACCTTATTCTTATTCTTCAACAATTCTAACAACTTAGAGTCCCTCGTTGTCCCTTTATGAACACAGATGTCATTGTGAGGGGGGGACAGCCAAAATGACAAGAAGGTGACCTGTCAGTGAACTCAGGAGCAGGTGAGGCCTGTCAGCTTCTAATTTGAAACTGGTGTCAGTCCTGAGGAATGGCTGGTATAATCACATTTGTAACTGATATCCTATAAACGCTGCAAACATTCACAGTGCGCCTGTTATGAGTAATATGAAATTAACAATTCGTGTTTATGACACAAGACACCGACTGAACCAAGTAGGTCTCCGTAACTGGATCAGCTCCGTCTGCCTTCTAGAGCAGCGCATTGAACTGCTTCAGCCAAGCCAAATTACTGTGTGCTTATGTTACAATAGGCATTGTATTTATTTTGAAGACAAACTTTTGTAACTAGGTGTAAAGTGAGGACCTCAGAACTAGCTCCTAGCTCAAGTAATTGCATATAAAACTTCTCTTGCTCAAGCCCAGCCATTAAGATGTTCATGACTTTTAAGTTAGAATTTGGGACCTAACAAATCACATGTTGTAGCTCACATTTTCTAAATAACTGAAGGGAAGGCTCTGTGTAAATCTTCTCTCTCAGACACATAAATTACCAGCTGCATGAATACTGCCATTAAGACATGCAGACAAGTGCAAGGGGTGGGGACAGGGCAGGATGCCCAAAAGAGGTGGAGTTACAGAGAAAACAAGGCATTTGCTCACTGAGTAATTTATGCCTTTTCTGCCTTCACTGTAGCTGAGCAAGAATGAACACCATGAGGCAATGTGTCAGGTGCTGTCATTTCACTACCATTGAGGCATTTTTCTGCAAATTGTTTTCTTCCTATTTCTAATCATTTCCACCTGAATTTTTTATTAGGAAAAGTCAAAATTATAGTATGTGAAGCAAAGATTTGAAATGAAGTTGCATTCCAGGATAAACTGAAGCTCAAGTGCATTTCTCATTTGAAGACAGCAAAATCTCACAATCCTTTGCATAATTATTTCCAATCCAAACTGACAGGAGCCCTAAAGTTCAGTTCCTTTCCTGACTGCACTGCTGCTAAGCTTGGTGCATAGATCAGAAGGTCCTTTCCAATGACATGCAAAATAAAAGAAGAACCAGACAAAAAATCTATTTCAATTATTACACTGGGATTTAGTTAGCAGAGCTGAAAACATGTGAGTCCAAATCCCAACTAGCTAATGGAGCTTTCTGAGCAGTTCTATACACCTTCATACAGGCAATCCAGTGGAGCTAACAGCCTGTTGTAGCACTCTTTAGTGGTAGGCAAATAACACTCATTTCCATTTTCTACAGAAGAACTGCACTCCACAAAGCTTCAGCAACGTAACCAAGGCCAGGTACAGCATTATAGCTGTGGTTCAGACACTGACATCCCTTGTCCTCTGACCCAGCACTGACACAACACACTTCTAACACTGCCTAGTTCAAGTTGCTGGCCATGAATACCACCTAATCAGCAAAGTAAAAGTATAATTTCAAAACCAACCTACAAAACTGCTTCAACCAACCTACGAAACTCCATCGCACCTAAGCAAAGGCCTAGCTCTAAATTTCACAATCACACTGCACCACCTAAAAACACTCCTGTGAGAAGGATCCTTGACTTTCATGAGTCAGGGCTGGAAGCTGCACCCCACTGCAGTTGATGCAGTCATCTCTCAATGTGTAGAACTTGTCACGTTACTCCAATGGCACAGCACAGTTGTTCAGTTTGGATAAAGTAATGTATCGGAATTGTTGAATCAAGGCCTGATTCACTGATTGATCACCTGAAGCAAGGACTGGGCCAGCTTTAGGAACACAGGTGAAGGCAATTCAGCTGTGTGACCTGAAGGAGTGGAACCTGGCTGCATCTCTCTAAAAGCCCATTTAAGGGCTGATTAACACTAGCAAAGGATCTCTTTCTGGAAATCCCTCCTCTGTGGAGCTTTTTGTTGCAAGCCTAAATTTTTGGATACAGATGAGCATTCCTTCCCTGTTTGCTCCTTTGCTATCTCACTACGGTACTCTTTCCAAGTGTATTTTGTTGACTGTACAAGTGCAGAAAACTTTGGTAGCTGTTCAGAGCTTTTCTAGAACCTGGTAACATGTGTTTCAGTTATCCTCCTACTTACACAGGTATAATTATTAGAATTCCCCACATGGTTTATGAGGAGAGCTGTGTAACAAGGCCCAGCACAACAACCAGGTCAGCTCCAGGGGCTGATGGGCAGTGGCACCACCTGGGAGCTCTGGGCACAGTGCCTCGACTAGATTGCTGCTGTAGCTTACTTGTATGAGCCTTCTAAATCACTGGTCATATAAAATGCTCCTCTGCCAAATTGGTTATGGTTTTGATATTAGCTGTAAATATCCATTATCTTTTGATTTCCTAGCTAAGCAAGCTTGAGTGTGTTTATGTCTTCTATGGCTTTCATTAGAGTAACACTCTGATCTAGCATAAGATCAGAACAGAGGAACTTACGATTATTGATAAACACTAATATTAGCTTCTTACAGACCTTCCTTGTGACCCTTGTACTGCTTGTACTTGTAAGGAGCAGCTGGCACCCCTCAGCTCAGCCCATTACCTGCAAGGATCCCCTGAACACCTTGCACTGGCCATGGCAGTACTGTAGAAAGGAGGCTGCAGTGGGCAATTCTGAGCTCCTGCTTCCAGTGCTGGGCCCCTGTGAGGCTGCCAGAAGACCAAAAGACAAGATGAAGAAAAAAAAAAAAAAAGTCAACAAAAAACTATTATCTTTTCTCAAAAACAGAAAGTGGAAGAATGAGACTCTGGCCTTGGTGGTCAGAGAAGACTGATCTGAAGATCTTGAGAAAAATCCCCATACACAGAAAGAAGCAGCAGAGCACATCCGTTTTCATGACAGAGGTTGGTAATATTTTGAGCACTGAGGTCCTGCACTTCCTCTTGACCTCACAGCACCACTTTCTGTTCATACAATTAATGCTGGGGAAGCTACCGTTCCTACCAACTTTCATTTTTAAGATAAAATCACTCCTTTCAGGGTAATCTTGAAGAAATGAATAAGTGGCAAACTTAAAAGCAGGCTTACCTAGTGAAGAGATGTACAAGGGAAAATGGGAATATAAATGTATGGCCCAATTTTTATTTTATTCATTTCTAGTACATTAGGGTAGGCAGAATTGGAGTAGGAGAAAAGGAAGTTTGACTTTTGGGGTCTTTTTTCTATATCATGCTGAATGGAGAGCAACGCTACACATAAGCTCACCGTGTGGGAGATGGTACTTGAGCATGAGGTGTTTCTCTGACCAGCCTGAATCAAGGGCTTGAGCAGCCTGTATCTCATCCAGCTCCTGTAACTGTTGTCTTCTGGGGATTTTATTCCAAACTTCATGAATATTTAGCAAGGCTTCTGAAATAAACTGGCTCTAGCAGTATACACTGAGACCGTGAACCAATGATTGGGGAACTAATCTGTTTCAAATCCTTGCTCTGCTCGATTCCATTGCAGGTTTAGTGATGAGTTCATAAATAATAGCTGTTTGCTGACCATGGCTCCCATACACGAGTGCCCTAATCACTGAAGATTATTTTTTTTCCCCCTCTATACAGAAATTCCATCTGCTTGAGAACGTTTCCTCTCAAAACCAATGCATTTACAAGGTTAGTGCTAGTTTTGGTGACTCAGTATTTTCTTTAAAAAGAACACCACAGTATTTCAGTCAAAAACCATAATCAGCATGAACTCAAATGGCACAGATTCCTAAGCCCTTGGCTGCATGGCAGCCTGCGTGCAGCTCTGGGGCAAAATTTGAGCGCTGCAGCAGTGACCAGCAAAAAGCCCTTGAAGCAGGAAGGCAGCATTAAAGCCATCCATTAAGCAGTGTTTATATTTACCGTGAGGTGAATTACAAAACTCCTTGTTTTGTGTTTGAAATTTGAGGGCCTAGGAAAGCCATCTGGGAATGGTACCTCAGACACAAGCTGTTATAACAGTAGCAAAATTCATGGCTGCATCTTACCTGTTGGAGCCCTTCTTCTCCTACTTCCCCAGGAATCAGCACAGCAGAGGCAGTGGGATGCCCACGACTCACAGCCTTTCCTGTTTCTTCTCACTGGAGCAGTCCTGCAGAAGGACAATATAGATTTATTCAAAGGAGACAGCATGGAAGCAGACCTTGATGCATGTGACAGAGCTGGAGGCATCCCAGTGTAATTAATGAGCAGTGAAACAAGTAGTTATTTATGTTGCACATTTCTAATGAACGGGAATTAGTCATGTCTTTAATTCTTAGGTGGCTATTTATGCTGCTTATCTGATATCTGAAAGGAAACTGTACTGAATATTTTCTACTCCAAGGAGGATTGGGTGGCTAAAACAAGATCTAACTTGTGCTTTTGGCAAAACATTAGGAAACTAGTTTCCAATTTTGGAAGTGTCTGGATGTAGTTTTCCATATTTTTTGCTTTCTTTGAGTTTTCCTGACTTCAGTCAGGAGGTGAAATGCCAGAAATACCCAGGGACAACATATCTAACAAGACCGCTCCCCCATGGGCGTAGCAGCCCGCCGGGTGTTTTTCCAAACCACCCCTGAACTCTGAACCTCCAAATCATTCACAGATCTCTTCCACTGGGAGATGAAACCACATTGCTGCATGGCTGCAGGAAGGAGCGTGGTGGGGAGCCGTGAGGAAAGCTGTGTTTTCCATTGCCTTCCTGAGCTGGGATGAGTGGTGGCCACACTCACTGCATCAACCTCTGCTCGTGCTGGATGCTGTGAGGGATATGCACTGAGCAACATTAATTCTGTGGTCACCCAGAGCGTGAGCACTGCCCTGTTTCTGCTTCAGCTGAAGCCTGAATGGAGCTGGGCTGGGAGAGGCCTCCATTTCCCATTACACGATGGTATTTTCTATTAGACACTAAAGCCCTCTGTCCCTGATGATAAGCTGGTTTTTATTATGAAATATAACAGTTGTATTTTACACGGCTCTTCTGTGCAATGCAATTTACAGAGTTCTTCTGGTGGCTCTGTCATTGACAGGGTGCCCTTTAAAGCAGGACTTGTAGCACACCGAAATTTTCATGATTCTAAACTAGCAGAAAAAGAAATATTTCGATGGCTGACAATTCCAGTTAGGTAACTATTATTGAAGTGTGTACAAGATTGCATGTCAAAACATTTTTATTGTTAGCTGGTAGGGATCACACTGACTGACAGCAGCAGTTTAACAACTGAACCACAGCGCAGTTTGTTATTGTACCTGTTTCTCCATAGAACAGCTCTATATTTTAGCAGCTGCTATCATTTTTAAGTTACAAAGCCTGTTCCCTCTCTCCCACTTTCAGTGCCTTTACCAAGTTGGTACGAGTGAGTAATAAAAGGAATTTAAAGTGCTTTAATTTTGTTTTGTTATATGGCATTACATTACCATAGCCTCTTAATAACATAACAAATATATACAGGAAATACAGCTGAAGTGAGTACAGAATCATTGAGAGGAGGAGGGGACGTTAGGTCAGGTTGGTGGGGGCTGGTTGTAGTGGCTTTTTTCCTTTCTTTGGGGAGCAGGGGGCTGAGGGGGGCAGAGGGTGGTTAAGATCCAATTGTGCTCCTATAGTTATGCAGTTGAGACACTCCAAACAGAGAACTAAGTGGAAAGCAGAGTTCTGCATCAAGCTGAGATATTAAAAGGAAAACCACTTAACAGAGCAGAAGGGAGACAGTCAACTTACAGCAGCACAGTAGTTTTTCTCACAAAAAAGTTGCTCTTAAATCCCCCGGGCATTACTCACACATGACTTACGCTGCACAAGCAGCCCGCAGGCGCACTCCGCTAGGTGGCGGGGCAGGCGCTGCCTGCTGGCTTCCCTCAGCTGCTGCCTATGCCTGTAGCAGAGTTCTGTATTATGCGTGTGCTCAAAATTCGTGATTTGATTGTCATCCTTATATTAAAATATTACCTGCAATCACACAGCCGTCCTGAAAAATCCCAACTTCTTTGCTTTGAGATTTTGTAAGCCATGTGTGTGGTTACTTACCAAAAAATCTTTCATATGACCACATCTCGAGGTGGAAGTTACTCCGATCTGCTGCTATGGGCTGCTATAGCATCTGTATATTTATCTTACTATTTTAAACCCCCCCCCAAAAAAGTTGTTTTTAATGTTCTTACAGTCTACCTCAGCACAAATATCACAAATAATCACAAAAACTGCAAAGGGGAATGTTTGAAAGCTACAGAAAAGTTTGGGACTGGAAATTTCTGTTTAGCTGGGTGTAGTTGTACTTATTCAAGCAGAATGCTTTCACAGGCAGTGATGCTGACTATGCTGCCAGCATTGTGCCCATGCCGGTTCTTGCTTTGTCTGTTCACACAGATAACTGGGTGCACTGTGGCCGTGACACATGGCTGAGCTGCACTGCTGGGCTCACCTGAACGTGTTCCCACATGCAGTGCCCTGCTGGCACTCTCACACAGTGTCTGCCTTTCACCCAACATCGTACTTCAACACCATGGCATGGCTGCAGCAGCTGTTGCTGGAGGACAAATACGGACAGGAAATGGAAAGGAGGTGGTGAGCAGAAAAGTAAAGCGGTCTCAAATAAGGAAGCCCTTTATTTTCCATTTGTCTTTGAAGACTGGTGAATGTGCACCAACTTACTTGCATAGCTTCCACACGAAGGAACTGACTGTTTTGAAAAGGAATGCAAAGATTCACACTTGGGCAGAGAGATTTCAAAGCAGTGAAACTGCTTGGCTCTTAAAAATGTTTTTTAAAAGCAACACTAAAAAATATAATAGGTAGCAGCACAGATAAGACAGCATTAATGAGTACAGTCCTTGCTGGTAAACCACTGCTGTGCTTTTGAAGTAAAAATGTCAAACTGTTTTTGTTTGTTTGCTAGGAGTCCATCTCTAGCTTCCTCTTATTTTCATTTGAATGGGATTTGGACTCTGCCTGTCACTGTGAAGTAGATTGGAGAAGAGTACTGTCAACACAGATGAAGATTCAGTTTGAATAAAATTAAAATAATTAAGTTCTGTTCAACATCAGTTTGGTTCTGCTTGAGTTGCCAAGACTCCTTACACAATTTGGGATGGGAGTTGGGCTTTTTTTTGGTAGATTGTGATTTCCTTGGTTGGAATGCTATGTCCAAAACCACCAACCAGGAGAATGAAGGTCTTCCACCCAAGGGTAACGTCTGTTATCTCCAACATTTGGGATATTGTGTCCAAAACAGGAGATATCAGCTTTGGAGGAACGTGATTTCAGAGTATTAAGCAGTTCCAAAGACCACTTGGATTTGATCTCCAAATGCCTGAGATAAATACAAGCCTTGAAAATGACCCTCGACACCCTGGGACCTTTTCTGTGGAAAAAGCTGAAGCACCCAGAGGTGTATCCTTGACTGTGCTGCTGAGTCAGTTAATTACAGTGCTCTAAATGAAAAGAAGCTTTGGTTAATGTAGGAGAAGAAAAAATAGTACTAAGGTTGACAGTTTGTGAACACATATGCTAAACATACGCATATTCCTATACAGCAGGGAAAGGAGTTAGAGGAGAGCAATTTTATATCCTAGTGCCTATTACCTGGACAGAGCAAGGAGCTGAGGAGACATGCAGGAGCAGCCCACAGCTCTGCAGCGTTGGTCATGCTGCCAGCAGCCTGCTGGTACAGCCACGCCACACTGATATGCTACTGCAGCCCAGCAGGCTGCCAGGGAACTGCTGTGGGAGCTGGCTGGGGCAGCGACAGAGCCCAGCCAGTTCCCTGCCATCTGTAGCAAGCTCAGCAACACATTGAAGCTGGCTGAACTTACACCTTGGGGTGGTTCAGTGTCACGTGCTCAGAAACAAGAAGCTTTGCTAGACTGTCCCAGCAGCACAGAAATGCCATATGGATCTGGTAGAAGTGTGAATTTTGTCTCAATTACAGATAATCCTAGCACTGTGCAAGCAAACACCTTAATGAAAGGTAGGGACAATACATTTCTTGGCCTTGTTTAGGCATCAGCATTAGGGTTTTCATGGAAAAATGCTTCACAGAAACAAAGACAGGATTTAGCTTTTCCTACCTCTCTTCATTTCAAAATTTTCATTCCTTATCTTGCATAAGTTCACTGAACAGTCACTGTGGCTCATCTACTGTATAAATGCTTGCAGATCACACTGTGCTGTGGGATGTTTTTTCACAGCATTTAGAATGTGCAGCTGCATATGGGAATGTAGGAGGGGTCAGCATTGATGGGGTTCACATTTAGCACTGCCTACTGGAATCCCAAAACTAAAAATGAGCCAGAGGAGAACAGCAGCACTTTGCCTTCCATTCACTTATGGTCAACAAGCAATTCCAAAGATCTACGTCTGATTTCACAATTCTACACAAGCACCCTTGCAAATCTCTTTCAATCCACAGCAATAAATATGTAGGCACCTGATGATTGGACTGAGATCTGAAATGAACATTTACTTTGGTCCATGAGGAATGTACCAACTATCTATAAGCAGTAACCTAATCAAAACTATCCATGGATTTGAAAAATTCTGTTTGAAGAGAACAATCAGAAGACGTATAAGCATTCTTAAGTTTTTCTACCTCTCACTGATTTCAGTACAGACAGTCAAATTGAAGTCAGATTGTAAATGCTTGTCCTTATTGAATTATTGCCACAGACACTAATGTGCCATAAGTATTTAACAGTAAATAGACGTAGCATTAGGAGCACGAATTTGGAACCAACACAATTTATACGAAACCTACGGCAACTTTGTGATCACAGTTAACAAATCCAGAATTTTCACCAGCAAGACAGACACCCAGGTCACTCAGCTGCTGTGGCTGGTTTGTTTGCGATTTGCCTTGTGAATGCAGATTACAGCCACAACACTCAGTAGTCACGTAAGTGATAACTTCTGGGATAAGGTGTTCATCAGATGATAGACTGAAACCACATAAGAAGCCTCAATCTTTTAGTCAAAAAGCAATTTTGTACTTTTTTTCTAAGGGCTGAGTTCTGCATGAAGTTCTTGACTAAGAATAGCTCACCCTGCCTGTCCAACCCACGGGCTGCAGCAGTGCTGTGAGTGGCCCCATACAACCATCCCCACACAGCTCTGCCACTCACCCGCTGACCCCAGGCACTCCCTGCTATTCCATCCATGCAGTACTGTTATCCCATATCCCTGAAAACATATTGGGCAAATTCATCTTTTTTTTTTTTTTTTTTCCAAATGTCACAGATATTTTCCCTGTTATTTAGATAGAGAATAACAGACACACACTGATGTGGATGTGGCTGTCTGCATCGCTTCTGAATACCTCAAGCAGCACACCATAGGGTTATGCATATGCCAGTCCTTACAATCTTTTTTTATTTTTGAGTGCAACATGAATTTGGGTGTAATCAAACTATGATGTGGTCCCCTTGCAGTCAGAGGAGAAAGATTAAATATGGCTGTATAAGCCAGCACTGATCCACTGAGAAGTGGGCAGTCTGGACCACAGGTAAGTGTGATGTCAGTTTCCATGCTATGAGTAATTATGTAATGTGCCCCCCCCACACACGGAGGTTACCCATAGTGTCCAGAGCTGCTAGCACTGGATTTAGCTTAAAATCCAGGTTTAGCTCCTCTTAGAATGGGATCCAAACTTGTATTTCATATCAAAGCATGTAATCCCATAACAATTCTAGCTGTATGGAACAAATGAACAAATGAATTTAATGTTAGTGGTTAAGAAAAAAAAAATTAATTTAGTGGACTGTTGTTTCACCTCCACAGGAAATACTTATCTTGTGATTGTGCTAGTACATGCTCCTGATCCTGATTCTACAAGGTTGCAGTGTAGACTGTGGGTCTTAGAAAGCCAATCTCCAGTCAAAGGGTCCCATCATTGATTTAACATTTAACAAGAAAAGGACATTTGTCAGAAGGTCACGCAGCCACACTTGCCCCTTCTAGATACAAGAAGTGAATGCTGTATTAACAGCTCAACATATTTTCAGGTATCTTTAATCTCTTTCCTTGCACTCTGTTCTTCTATTGGGCAGTCAACTGAAGTCAGACTCGCCTCACTGGCCCAGAAGAGCAGCCGGCACTTAGAGGCAGAAAAAAATCCACACCTTCACACTGCTGACCTTATTGTTCTACAGACTGTTGATTGCAAGTCATCAAGTTTCAGCAGTTCAGACAGATCAACCTCTGGAAAAGAGAAGCAAAAAGAAGGAATTAACCTTCTTATATATACAGGATGAGGACACTACCTCAACTGACTGACAAATGCCACTCAATTTTGCATCATATGAATGTGCTGGGGCTGTAGGGCAGCACTAATTAGCACTTGCTATTTGATTGCTGTGGGCAATGGAGAAGGGAAAGCAATGGGGGCAGGTGGAGCCCATGGAGGTGGGATGAGGCTACCCTGGACAGACACCATCCCAGGCTTAAATGTCCCTCCTTACAGGGGCAGGTGCCCAACAATTTGCTCAGCTCCAGCGCAGAGCAGAGGGAGCTGTTCTGAAAATTTTAAATGAAGAAGAAAAATAACATTTGGCTAGAAGAAGGAATTTGCAAAATTTCATAAACACATCATGGGGATTTATTTAAATACTCTTTCAAAACTTGCATAACAAGGAAGTAGATGCAGATAATTTTTATGCATCTCACCAACACTACAAATAAGACCCATTTTTCAATCACAGTATTGAAAATATGTTTCCTCCCTTGAGTTACACGTAGTCAAGATTGTCACAAGGGGATTTTTTAAAGAATTCGTTAAGCTGAGAATATTTAAGTTAACTTTCAGAAGATCTGTCTACATTTCACTGTTTTAAGTCTCCTTTCATAATTATGTTTAATGCAATCTCTGCAAAACAAATAAGATCACTCATTTCGCATAGGCATTCACCCACTGCAATGAGCTCAAACAAAGACAACGGCAGAGATAAACAGCTGAGAGTGTACAGCCATGTCCTTCAGCCAAGCAAACCCCCAGTTTTTTTTGTTGGTCCTTTACAGTTCATCATTCAGAACTGTCACATTTCTCACCTCACAGAAAGAAAAGTCCCACTGGAGGACATCTAGCAGAGCTTTCTCCCCCTCACTAGCAGCCTTCTGCTATGCACACAAGCCACAGCTTAATGCAGATGCAAACATTTCTAACAGCTTTTCCTTAAAGTACCTGCTTGTCACTGGCTTGGCTATTTTTGATGTTGTTATACTTTTGAAATGAAACTTGAAATTCCACCTTTCATTCAAAAGGGGGTCGAAATTCCCTAGGAAATTGCTTCAGATTCTTTAGGAATGTTTGCATTTTCAAAAGAGTCAAAGAAACTAAACGTCTACGCTATATGTCTAAGTTACGTGTAATTTAACAAGGGTTGGATTAACAACAGAAATAATTCAGAAAAGTATATGCTTGTGATTTAATTATTCAATTATTCCCTTCTACTATTCTTAATAAATATTTAAATATTGCAGACAGCAAGATAAGTGAAACATCAACACAGTGCAACATGGCACTGATTCAGGATGCACCATTGGATACTGGACTCGTCAGGCCTTTAGGACGCAAGCTAGTCAGTGAACATCAAGTATACTTTTTGATGAACTATTTGCAAATGAGATGTATTCCAAATGTTTGCTCATTTAATTAGAACATAAAAGATGATTTCCTTGGCTGGACCTTGCTTCTGACCCTTCTTGCCTCTGTGTGGTTTGTACGATTCTTGGCTAATGAGATATAGGATATGTACTAAACATTTACACATTAAAGGCATCCTTCATTCAGCATGAAGGTGTTGATACATCAAGGATACCTCAAACATGCTGAGATTCCAGCAACTTGTCAGACAAATTAGCACCTTACCAATCGGGGGTAAAATTGAGTTTCACATTTCTCCCTGGTGGGAAGAAAAAAATCAAAAATCACTGTAGTTTAATACTTTCTTTGTAAATATGAACACAGAAAGCCTTATAACCTCTGTAGTGTAAATTATAGCCCTCACTGACTATCTGATTTTTAATTCATTGGTTTTAAATGATCCTAAGCAGTTTACAGCAAATCTATTGTGTCATATCTCTCTTAGGGCAGACATTTTTCTTCTATTAAGTCTCTCTCTTTTACAAATATTTAAACTCCATATCTATATATATCAAAATGGAAGGAAATCAAAGTCTTAAATTTGTATGTTCCATTAACATTAACTACCAGCCGCTTTTAACTCAAACTCTAAGGGATATGTGGAATTAAAGGACTGTATAGCAATGAAACTACGATGGTTTAATTTTTTTTTAAGCTGACTAGTCCTGAAAATTAGTGGATAAAGATTAGGGTTAGGACTAATGCATAAAGATGCAGATTGCTGGCACCATGCATGAGACATGCAGAACGCCAGAAAGACCTACTACCTGGAAATCCAGCCTAGTAAAGCATCCCAATAGACTGAGAGTAAGGGTAAAGTCAGCCATAGGTGCTGTAGACACTACAGCATGAACCAGTGACCACCCAGTGCCTCTGAATCACCAGACATTACACAGCATGGACTGAGGACGCTACAACACATGCTGCTACTTACTCAAGATTTGAGGAGAAGCTTACTATCATAAACCTCAAAGATAGGAATTATTTAGGCATCCAATAGCTTTCTGCAACTTACATAGCTGAAACATTTACCTCACTGTGAACTCATCACAAAAACACACATTTTCCAAAATTGTGAGGTCAGCAAATGAAATCAACTTGTAACCTGTGCAGGAGGAGGCGTGAGCTTTCTATGGAGACCAGGTGTGTACCCACAAGTCATTCCTTACTTTCCCCTTGCCAACTTCCTCATTCTCAAATTCAGTTATGTTTTTTTTTAAATATAGAAAAGAAAGAAGTAGAAAATCTTCCCAGTTGCAGATACTTGAAACTCGTTCAAAAATTTAGTAATTATCATCATACTAATGGATTTTGTCATCAGCCTCTCTCTCTTTATCAATAAACCCTAGTATCTAAACAAAACACACATCCATCCCTGTTCCACAAGGACTGTGACTGTGATCCCACATCCTAACTTCTTATCCGGAGAAAACTGAAGATTAATTTTGTTATGCTATATATATTTGTTCATGCTATATATTTGCATGGAACTCTAGAGCAAGGCTCCTTCTCAGTAACATACACTACGTATATTAAAACACTTGCACACTTTTTCGCCTTAAGATAAAAAATATCTGACAGATAGCACATTTTTAAATGCTTAAGAGAGAAAGAAATACTGACTCCCATGCATAGAGTGCGGTTAAAAAGAACTGATTTAGAGACAAGATAGTGAATCTGTAACTAAGTGTCTTAGCATTTGACTAAAACAATAATGGCCAGCACTAATTGCATGTGGTCTGTTGCACAGCTACTGGAATCAAATAGTAAAGAGGATCACAGTTCCTTATTAGTTAGGACCACCTACAGTGATGGAAAGCCTGAATGATCAAAGAGAAGACATTTTTATGCTGCAAATGTTGATATACTCTTGAGCTTTCCAGCACAATTTAAGATCCGGTATGAGCACTTGACACACTAACATAACACACTGGGCAGCGCAACACATGTGATAATAGACTACACAAGCTTCACTTGCTTGAAAAAGAAGTGAATAATATTCAGTACTATTTTCTTGTTCCCTATTGCATTGCAGAATAGTTCTCTATTATTACCAGAGTGGAATGACTTATTTTCTCCTACTTGAATCAAACCTAGACTAGCTTTTGTTCCTTACACTGTATCATGAGAGATCCCATCACTGCTATCCAGTGATCACTGGATAGATGATGTAAAAAAACAGGCATTATTTATTTGTAGAAATACAAAGTAATCCAGTGTGATTACTTATCATTTGTAACTTGGTCATCCAGGACTATAGACTTGTTTCTGTCTTGGCTGAGTAGCTGAAATGTTTGGCAGAGAATAATTAATGTTATTCGAGTGACTATAATTACTAAGAGAGATTATCATTTTTAAATTTATAACTGCACTTTGTTTATTGTTGTTCAGTCTCCTGCCTTCAGTAGATCATGATGTTTGGTGCTGTAATTAAACAAAATCTACTCTGTGTTATACAGAAGAACTTTATGGTTCAAGTGAAAGGTGTTGAAAAGAAAACATGAATATTAAATTCTATTTTTACAAGATATCATCTGTCACTAAAAATCTACCATTAAATCATAGCGGGAACCTAAGAGAGCTTTCATTTAATATAACAGACGTAAGAAGACAGACAGATAACAGTGCTTCCAATAAGAGCAAGTTTTACTGAGCAAAGAGTATAGCAGTTGACTTTGTTGCTGTAAGAGGTGTGGGAAGAAGGAAGATTGCATAACTGGCAGAAGAAATACTGATTTCGTTCTTGTATAATTATCCCACACACTGAGAATGGTTGCATACCTTCTGCTCTGCTTTGATGCATTTATTAGTGTGTGCTTATGGTCCAAACATATATACATTTCAGACACTGAACTAAACTCCATTCAAAGCAGTTTAGCATTTTTCTCTGAAAGCTCTTCAGAACTCTTGACTTGAACACCTCCAAATTCTTCAAAATCTACTCTGAACCAACCCCATGTTTAAGGTTCAGATCTCATTAGTTTAGGCTAGGAATGCTCTCTAATTACTAAGAGAGTTTTCTCAAGTTGCACTTTAGAAATTCATCTTTTTTTGTACGCTGTATTCATAAAAAGCTAAAAATTGTGGGGAAATTAGCATTGATGGATGTTTTCTTATCCTCCATCAGGAAATGATGTACTTGAAACTCATTACAGATCTTCATAGAAACTCTGCCGAATGTGCCTTGGGCTTTGTGCTGATCAGCACACACTGAGCTTACTGCATAATTCATCTCTCTTGTGTCACATTTAATGTATAACATGCATTTCCTGTTAATTATGAAAATAAAGATGCGTTCTTTCTTTTAGAAACATAATCATTAAATTACTACAGAAATTAAGAAACACAGAGATGTGTTTTACTCATTTTACATGAAATTTCTAAGTCAGTGCTATCTTTGGCTCTGAGAACTCAGCAAATGCACCTTGCTACTCCTTCACACATCAGGCAGAGCCTCCCTACTGAAGCCTCACAGAGATAGGTCAGTTAGAACCCTGACATCCTTATGGCCATCAGGGCTACCCTCCTAAATGGAGCTGTGGAGCCCATTAACTTTCTT